ACCAAAAGTTTCAACCTTAAACATTTTTAGGACTAGTTGCTCAGTTGACAGTGACCTGTCCGTTGACGATGCCCTGGTACAGCCCAGTGTCCAGCGGTATGTAGGTTTTCCTGCTCGTGTCCATGAAGTACAGGGGGTCACTCACCTGATGGGGGTCAAAACCCTCCTCCACTGCTGTCACCTGGGGGGGGGGGAAATGTGGTCTCTGTTAGGGTTGGAGCCTCAAACCCGATCAAAGTATTAGTTAGTAATAGCAACTGGATAAAATTCAAAATGATTACCATTCAGTCTTACATTGCTTGTACAATGTACCTACTGTACAAAACTGTTGTGCCATGTCTAGAGACGGTTTAGTGTTTTTTGAAGATTTATAAATGGTCAAACCCCCCCCCCCAATGCTGGTTGAAAGACTGAGTGTAGGGGGGCTAAATCACAGAGTAGGGGGCCCCAACACTCAAACAGCCTGGTGAGAACTACCAGACTGAGTATGCTAAAAAACAGACCGACCTTCTTCTGTTTGAAAGTCCCTGTGACGTCGATCTCCTGCTGCAGACGGAGGAACCGCGGGGCTGCGTAAGATGGGAGGTACTGGGCCACGTGCTCGTACAGCGCTGGGAAATCAAGACTGTGGTCGGGACGTACGATTAAGGAAGCCATCCCTGCACGACCATCGTATCCTGGGTGGGAAGAGGAAATGGCAAGTTGTTAAAAGCGTTAAATGTGGCACAGCATACAAGGGGAGGTACTGAGCGAGATGGTCATACAGCGCGGGGAAATCCAGGTCGATCCCCGGACGCACGATTATAGATGCCATCCTGGCTCAACCATCATAACCTTGGGGAGAAACAGCAGGTTGTTAGAAGTGGAGGATATGCGAGGCGTAAGAGGGAGATACTGGGCCATGTGCTGGTACATCGTGGGAAAGTCGACTCTGGCCGGGATGCACGATAATCGATGCCATCCCGGCACGACCATCGTAACCTGAGGGAGAAACGGCAGGTTGTTAGAAGCGGAGGATATGCGAGTCTTAAGGCAGGAGATACTGGGCCATGTGCTGGTACATTGAAGGAAAGTCTAGGCTGCAGCCCTGACGCACGATTACGGATGCCATCCCGGCTCGACCATCGTATCCTGGGGGGGGGGTGGAAACATTAGGTTTAAAAGCGATGTAAGACGGGAGGTACTGGGCCATGTGCTCGTACAGCGCGGGGAAGTCTAGGCTGTGGCCCGGGACGTACGATTAACGAAGCCATCCCGGCACGGCCATCGTAACCTGGAGGAGGGAGATGGCCAGTTGCTTAACTTCATCAATAAAAAATTGGAGACAACTCAGGTGATAGTTTAAGAAAGCATTCCAGACCATACATCAATGAAGGGTAGACATCCAAGTAGAACATCAACTAACTTGAGGAATTCTCTGAAGAGTCAAATGTTTCAGCTAGTATCCGCTAACTTTCATCAGTGACTGAGAGAATAAACACAAGATGTGTATCCTGAGCTATGTGAATTTCCCCTGTATTCATTCAATATCTATTAAAATATGATTGTATTAACTAATTTACAGGTTACACTTTATCTTCAGACACATGCCCATAACAGAGGAAAGACAGCGGATGCCATCTGAAACATCTGGCTCTGCAGAGAATTTATCCAGTTACCTAATTTTGAATTTTTCTGATTTTTTATTGTGAATTACACACTGTACAACAGGCTTCCTAAGTTCAACAGTCAGATACAGCATTTTACATGTTTGTATGTCTGCTGACTACCATGCACATACATGTATCATATAGATACCGACCTGGTATTTTGACTCCGTAGACGTTTGCCTCCTGGATGGCGTCATGTTCAGACAGGACCTGGCTCACTTCTGTGGTCGCCACGTTCTCTCCCTTCCACCTGTGTGTGGGTACAACACAAAATATCAACATTAAACTAACTCCCCAACCCTAACCCTAACCCTAATCCTAACCCTTCCATCTTACTGAGAACCTGGCTCACTTCTGTGGTCGCCACGTTCTCTCCCTTCCACCTGGTATAACACAAAATATCAACATTGAAGTAACTCCCTAACCCCAACCCTTCCACCTGCAGAGATATACAATGTACAACATGACAGTTAGGGTCAATTCTAAGAAATTCAGTATGTTTTACGTCAATGAAGTTTAGCCATCCAGGTAAAAGAGTACCAAGGTAAGAGTTATTGAGCAATACAACGACATCATCATCATCATGAGTCTTCATCTTTACGAGGTGGAGCAATTGAAGTTCCTCCTCCTGACCAGTACTGTTTATCAGTCATTGCAGACAAAAGTCCAGGTCCTTGTAAATTTGTATCTGACTCAACGTGCTTCTTCAGGGTTGTAGTTGAGCATCTGACTCTTCCTTTGGCACCAGGCAACTCGATGGATAAAAAACTGTTTGTTTTACAATACTTTACATTAATTTTGTATGTGCCCAACCAGAATGTATTGCAGCAGATTGTAGTAACTGTAACAGTACTGTTGTAGTATTTTATATCTGACTGTTGGACGCATAACAAAAATCTAAGAAAATGCGGGAACAATTGTTTGGGAAACCCCACCTGAAGGTGTCTCCAAGTCTGTCCACGAAGAAAACGTGATAGTCTGTGTCCATGAAGAGGACGTCTCCGCTGTTGAAGTAGCCGTCTCCTTTCTTAAAGACGTCTCGAAGAACCTTCTTCTCGCTCAGCTCCTTCTTCCCCGCGTAGCCGTCGAAGAACGTCCGCTGGGTGATGGGAGCAATCACCAGGCCATTCTCACCTGGGGAAAAAATGTTTGTTTGTTTGTCTGAGCCTTTGGGAGCAATCTCTAGGCCATCTAACCTGAAGTAAACAAGGTTTGTTTGTTTATTCTTAAAATACTTAAGTTGACCTGCTTATCCTGGAAAGAACAGTTGTTTGTTTCTTCTATCCTTTGTTTATCTAAGATTCCAATCAGCCTGCTGGCCACTTTTCATTGAGATCATGAGGGAAGATGTCAGGGTCAGACAAATTATAACAAAGATATAGGTTTGATGATTGAAGTCCTGACAAATACACAGAAACATATGCTATGGCCCTAATATGTTAAGAATTCAATGGCTAACTGACATTTCTTATGACACTAATGATATATTTATCCTTTTTGAACCTTTACACTACAGAACAGATACTGTTTACTGCATTCCTCATTCATGTTAAAGAAATTTATTAAATATTATAATTAAGCATTTAAATGGAGATCTAAATACAAAGTTCACCTGGCTTGGTCTCTATGCACCATCCATTCTCGTCTCTGATTGGTTCCCCTGTCGCCACGTCGTACTTGACGAAGTTGCAGGGTCTTAATTTCTGCAGGGGAGACAACAGGGTTGTCATGACTACATACATTGAACACACTGGAAACTTATCTAAGTGACCACGGAAAAGTGGTCACATTGGCCAAACAAACACATTGGCAAATTGCTGAATAGAATCATACAATATACGGGGCGATAAACCCCTCCAGCTCTGTCCTGCTACTTGCTACATAATGTAACCCAAAACCACAGGGTGTCCGCTGTAGCACCAGTTACCATGGTGACAGCTGTCTGGTCCAGGTCATTGACCTCACGTGTTTTTGCATCTGCATCTGTATAGCCTGTACACCAGCTTCATGGGCACGGGACACTAAAAATTACCTTCTCCATGGAAAAGAAGAAGAAACAGAACAAAAGATACTGGTTTACTGTAATAGCCGAGACTAAATAATAGATTTTCACCTACCCTCATGAGAGGAGAGGCATATCTGACGGCCCCAAACTTCTGCAGCAGGTTGACGAAGCCGACATTGGAAACTATTACAACACGTTACTGTAACAATAGCCCTGAGGATAGTGAGTGTGAGTTAGAACTGTTTATACATAATTACACATGTACTAACCCTCATGAGAGGAGAGGCGTACCCGACAGCCCCAAACTTCTGCAGCAGGTTGACGAAGCCGACATTTCCCTCCGTGGCTGCGTAGAACTCCATGATGTTGCTCACGCCGAAACGCTCCTGGAACTCGGACCAGATCTCAGGCCGCAGACCATTTCCGACGGCTGCCCACACCTGGTTATCCAGGTCATCTGGCCGCTGGGGGAGAAATCAGCATCATTACTACATGTACCTGCTCACACCTGTGTAACTAACACTGTGACACCTGTGTAAGTAACACACCTGTACCAGATCTCAGGTGTTCCCCACAGCTGCCCACACCTGATTATCCCTGTCATCTGGCCGCTGGGAAGAGAAAGATGATTTATACAATGTATCAGCTTCGTGTTGTTTGTGTTGGGCATGTACAGGAGTTCAAGGGCTGTGTAACTAACGTAAGGCACATTTTGTAACTAAGGTAAGGCACATTTTGTACCAGTTACTGTAGCTGCTGCATTACTCAGGTACTGAGGATGACAATCATATATTTCATTCTGTTTTCGTCACAGTGGCCCACACCTGGTTATCTCTGTCATCTAGGCGCTGAAGGGGGAGGAGAGAAATCAGCATCATGGTGTGTTGTATACAGGACTGTGTGTATCTGAGTGTGTACCTACATGTACATGTAATAACGTTACCTGCACCTGAAAAATTTTTCAGGTACAATTGTCCAGACCTGAACATAACTAGGTACACCTGACAAAATAGAATATGGCTGGACATCATTTTTTACACTAAAGATGGGTAAATTGCATCTCAAAGATGACAAGTTTGACAATGTCTCATTTGAAATATGTAAACCCTCATACAAAGTCATTTTGCTACAGGCACATTTTGTATAACTTAAACAAGATTAGCCAAACCGGTTTAGGTATCTAAACCCATGTACATGTAATGCCTGAATGCAAAAGGTACACAACTCTAACAGAACTAAGTCTAGTATTGGCTGGCAAGACAATGATAAGACATATTTTCAGCCTGATGAAAAATCTAATGAGAACTGTACCTTCGGCTGAGCGCAGAGGTAGCGCAGTAGCTCCCCGATGTACTGCACCACCGTGACGTTGTACTTCCTGCAGTCGTCCCAGAACCGCGAGGCCGAGAACTTCTTCCTCAACACCCAGGTACAGCCTGGCGGTAAACATAAAAGAAAAGTTGGTTGGTTATATTATGTAGCAAGTGGCAGGATAGAGGGGCTGGTCACCATGTATATGAATGTGTTTAAGTAAGCATGAACATGAGTAGTTTTGTTGGGCTAGAGCATCCCCAATTTGAAGGTAAACGTTATGCATTTGCATTTTGCATCTTTTCCAGTTCCCTACTTTTTTGACATCCTATGAACGAAACAAAGAATATTTACTAGGTACAGCACTCACCTGTCTCTACTGTTCCTGCCAGCCCGATACACAGCGCAGCACTGTGGTACAGCGGCAAAGCTGTGTACACCACATCCTCCGCTGTCACCCCACACAGCACAGCACAGCACACTCACCTGTCTCTACTGTTCCTGCCAGCCCGATACACAGCACAGCACTGTGGTACAGCGGCAAAGCTGTGTAAACCACATCCTCCGCTGTCACCCCACACAGCACAGCACAGCACAAACACTCACCTGTCTCTACTATTCCTGCCAGCCCGATACACAGCGCAGCACTGTGGTACAGCAGCAAAGCTGTGTAAACCACATCCTCCGCTGTCATCCCACACAGCACAGCACAAACACTCACCTGTCTCTACTGTTCCTGCCAGCCCGATACACAGTGCAGCGCTGTGGTACAGCGGCAAAGCTGTGTACACCACGTCCTCCGCTGTCACCCCACACAGCGCAAGGAACATGCTGGCATACACCATCCTGCCGTAGGAAATCTTTGCAGCCTTTGGAAGACCTGGAGAGAAAACAAGGATAGTTTCTGGCAGTGTTCTAGGTTTTTGTATGTAAAGATGTGCAATGTATAAGAATACAGCGTATTCTTAACATCCAAGTGTCAAAAAAATAATAAATTTATAGTAAGTTGTAGTGCTTTTCTTTAGAAATGGAACACATTAGTTTTTTTTTTCTGACATTCTACTTATTTCATTTTATATGGTGCACCCATTTTTTGGGGCACCTATTCCCGAAAATGAATTTCAGCCTGAATAGCATTTGAAATACATGGGTTCTGACAGAGTTAAGAGACTCTTTTTACACAATCAAGACTAGTGTTTTATTCAGCCGATGTTTTGGTGACCGTCTATCACCTTCCTCAGGGCAATTCTGACTGGTTCACATTGCACTGCAGCACAGGTGTCGCTGCTACAGATGCATTCCCAAACGTACTGAATAAAAGATTTGGTTGTGTAAAAAGAGTCTCTTTACTCAGTGTCTTACCAACCAGATAAAAACTATTCACGGATTGTTCTGACTATTTTAGAAAATATTGAAAAAAATTTACAAACCTGTAGTTCCTGAGGTGTAGATGTATGCTATCATGTCCTTCATGCGAATGCCAGATCTAAGCTCCGCTGGGATTGGTGCATCTGAGGCCGCCTCGATCTTATCCTCCAATGGCAGGACTCCGTTCTCCTGGACCTGGTCCCCCATCACCCACACTGTCACCCCCTGCTGCTGCAGTTCCGGCAGGATCTCCAGGATGGCGCTGATGAGAGCTTCATCTGAAAACAAGAAATCACAAATCTCACGCCTCTGTCACGAGTTTGCTCAGGTACAAAATGTATGCCAAACAAATTAGGAGTTTGTACTGTCATGAAAGTTCATCTGTGTTGGTAGTTACATGTTTAAAGTTAAAACTTTTGAGCCAACACAAAGAAATCTCTCACCTACAAATGTAAGAGCTTTTGACCAGTCACTCTCTGGTATTCCTCAATAGACACTGTAACTACAGTGTAAGGATTTTGGACACTGAGCAAGACTGTTTCTTGAGAGGCGTGAAGGAAGCCATATACATCAGGGCCCATCACCCTACATTGAACCGCGACGGAGGTCGACATCGTCTACCAGACACCTTTGACCCAGTGTTGACGTCACACTTCAAAGAAGCCACGTGACAAGCCTCACTGGGTCAGTCTACTGAGGAAGACCGGAGTGACTGGTCGGAAGCTCTAGGTGAGAGAATTCCTTGTGTTGAATCAAAAGTTTTAACTTTAAACAAAAGGAGTTTGTGTGTGCTGAAACTTACCTTTCCCAACAATCAGGTCCTAAATTTGTTCTTTCTTGGCCGAGCTAACATTAAACAGTGCAGCCTGGCACTAGAAAAAGTAGCGCTAAACTTGCATGATTACAGGGTCAGGCATCAAAGTTAGGATACTGTATAGAAAGATTTTGATTGTACAGAAAGCTTACCTTTCCCAACGATCAGGTTTTTTGCCCCACTGACGTTGAAACAGTGGAGCAGAGATTTAGACCTGAGGTTGTTGTTCAGCATGGCTGTCGTCATGCCCAGTTTGGACAGACCCAGGAAAATGGCCAGGTAAGCCGGCTCATTCAGCATGAAGATGGCGAAAGTCTCGCCGGCGCGAAGGCCGCGGGCGTGGAAGAAGTTCCCCACACGGTTAGACCACTGGTCCATCTCTCTGGAGTTGGGTTAAGAAAAGGTACTAGTAGGTAAAGTTTTCATAGCCTGATCATCGAACAGTGTACTGTACTTCCGTAGTACTACATGTATATCATCCTGTCTGCACGAAGGCCCCGGGCGTGGAAGAAGTTCCCCACTCGGTTGGACCACTGGTCCATCTCTCTGGAGGGAGGGGAGGGTAAGAAGAGGTTAAGTTAAAGGTAATAGCCTTTTTGAGGCCATCTGTAGCAGTATAGGGGAAGTGGGTTTGTCTTACTGTGTCTAGGGCACACAAATGGCTGCGAAAACAAATAAAGTCATCTTGTATGATTCCTTCCAGTGCTTTTTACCTCTGTAACCTGCATGTAGGTGGACCAAGGAAATTTTTTATTCAAGTTTTGATTCTATCATTATAGCCTTTAAGTAGTACATTATATACGTACTACCCAGAATATACAATGTCATGTATTCTAAAGAGAGACACAAGTACCCTGTGAGTGCCACAAACTATGTTCAAAATGATGTTCAGTAATTATGAAAGGAAACGGAGAAAACAAAATATACAGTCAAGTTGCATCTGCTCTGTTCTGGCCTTACAACTTGTGTGACCTGCTGTACAGCACTTAGTATCCTCTAACAAGTAAAACCAAACCAACCTAGAAAGGCAAATGCATAATGTTTACCTTCGCATATGGTCTGCTCTGTTCATTCTTACTCAAACACACTCATATAATCCCTAAATCCCTTCTGCTATAAAATTGCAACCTGATGTTACCCAACACCAGTTACCATGGTTACAGACGTCTGGTCCAGGTCATTGACCTTATTTGTTTGGAGAAGAAGAAGAGGAAAAAACTGAGCAAAAACAAGATGTTTTCCTTCAGTGAACATAACCAGTCCAAACCCCGCCCCAAACCCCCGCCGTACCTGTAAGTGTAGACCTCGTCCTGGTACATGAGGAAGGTCCTGTCAGGTTTGGCGGCTGCCTGCTGGATGAACCGGGTGATGACTGAAACATTGTTCTTTATGTTCTTCTCCAACCTCGTGATTGGGAGAGACTGTGATGGACAAGAGAGACAGAAGAGATTTCATATTATCTTTTGGAAACTTGATTCCACTTTAATAGTCTTTATCAAATCTAAGGGATCAAAGTACTTTTTCCACACCTGTACTGGTGCTGGTAACATTAAAAATCACCAGACAAAATTTTACCTACTTCATTTTACCTGCAAGGCTCAGAATTTGTGGAGTATGGATCATACAAGCCATCACCCTTGTTACTCTTACAATTCTACTGTGTAAGTACAAAATTGAATGTTTCCACTTGGATCAATGGATTTTGTAAGGGTTACTTTGAAAAAAGACAACAAAAGTGCCTGCTAATAGTGTTTAACATGGAGCATGGAGGTACGTAGATACTCATTATGGGAACCTCTCAATACTATTTGATCTTTGAAGTGCTAAATTGTCATGTTTGTAGTACTATATCAGAGAATGGACAGGCACAAGTACAACACTAAGAGACCCTGGGCATCGATTCAAACATGAATACTTGATTAGGATCCTGTATTGTACCATAATAATGGGTTTTCCACATGATTTGATATGCCACCGTGTTACCCGGATCCAGGGAATGATAATTATGCACGTAGATCCCCCGGGAACATTTACTTTAAACAAACTGCTCTGTCTAATGTTTCACTCGTGGGAAAAAAGGAACTGCTGAAAGTACAAAGGTTGATGTTTACGATACTCTCCAAGCAGTGGTTAGACCTGAATATTTTGACGTCTTTTCAGGTGTTTTATCAGGATTGCTATTTTGTACCGGGATATCTTTTGCCATCTTTTTTCCCAGAAGACAAATTGTAGTAGTTAGACTAGATTGTACTGCCTTGCCAAATTTTGGTAACGTTTACCGTCTGGCTTTATTGAGGCAAAGAGGTTTCAGTTTCCAGAAAACTCCTTTGTTGAGGCAAACAGATCTTGGGGGCTGATTATAACGTGAAGTGGGGAGGGCGTGAGTTGGCCTTGGGTACTGTATCTTATTACTCTTGCGGGCGCGTAAATTTTTAGCTCTTGCGGCCTCAGGATTTGCTTCCTAGGGTAATTTGACACTGCCTTGCCAATAACATGTCTTGTAGCCACCAAAAAGATGGCTACAAGAGAATGGGTAGGCTACTGAGTTACACAAATATAATTTGAACAGACCCAAAGGCGCCATAATTACAACCTAGCAAGCCGAGTAGCCTCCGTAGCAGGCTTATAGAACTGGGGGTTTGGTGGTCTTCGGCTGTTTTCTGATTAGCCTCCGTAGCAGGCTTATAGAACCGGGGGTTTGGTGGTCTTCGGCTGTTTTCTGATTAGCCCAGTTCTAAAAAAACGGGGGCAATTCAACCAGGCCGGCTATGTTGTCTATATGCAATCAGAAAATAGCACATAAAAGCTCCCAAAGACCCTGAAGACCCCCCCAAACCCCCGCAGTTTTTGGCATGCTATGGAGGCTACTACAAGCGGAGCACACACACACATGCCTTGAGTATGAATCTGACGTCTGTGTAGAAATGTGGGTAGAAAAGCTTGATCAGGATCGGAGCGGTCACAACCCCGGCTAGAACGCTGTACAGGACCGTCTCCCAGCCCATGGCGACTGCAGGCGTGAACTTGGACGTGAGAGGAGTGAAGTAGAAGCACCAGATCAGCCACAGGTTCCCTCCCAAAGCGAAGCCGACCTTGTAAACGTTACCAGTTCAGCGAGCTTTGACCCGAGTTAACCCCGCCGAACTTTACTCCTTGCGGAACTAACCATTCACAATGGAGGGATGTCCTTGTGAGTCGAATTTTTGTCCAGACTTCGTATCTGATAGACACAGCAAATACAAAGTAAAAAATACGTGCAATTTCGGTTTTTTTAGCAGATGGATTAATCCTAGGATTGTGTAAGTTGGCTAAAGGGAATACTTTGAATGTTTTTTTGTCTTATTTTGAATAATTTTTCATCTCTACGTTCTAAATGGATTGTTCCAAACGGGGGCGTGGTGCTGAATGGTGATCAGCTGTGAAAAGTTTACAGACACTTTTATACAGACGCCCCACAAATTTGGGTTCCAAAGTCCACCATAGGGGCAAAGTTCGGTGCTACAGACTTTATTTGGCGCTAGAGACACCACCGGACAGGCCAGCTGGTCGCTTAAAGTCGTAAAAAGAATCTAAACTCTGGGCCTAAGTTATATATTTCATCCTAGAAGGTAAAATAACCCTTACTGTGTACAAATAGGTAAATATATGAAAGAATGTTTAGACCTTAGAACAAGTATAAGTTGACTCATCTATTGTTTTGTACGTAGGTTAATTTCGTTGTACCCATGTATTTGTCTGTATATCTACATGCAGTCTTAGACCTTACGAAAGTCGCTGTACAATTTGTTGTGTCAATAAAGTTCTTCTACTATTCCTAGCATTAGAATATAGCGCTCCAGTATGCAATAGTCATAATTTGCATACTGCATATCCTCTTGTGCATTTAGCCCATCTGGGCAAGAACGTGCAATAAAGATTCATATCATTATAATTTTTCTTCAAAAACTTCAGATGGCGCCTGAGGTAAAGTTGCACGGTACGGGGTCTGCCATGGACGGGGTGGCCGCTGCCGCAGACCGTCGGGACGAGCCCCTGATAGAGATTGAACTAGCCCGGGTAGCGGCCTTCACCAAGGTCCTGCAGTCTGGCGGGTCCATCCTCTCCATGTTCGCGGAGGCCGTGAGGAGCCACCCGGGCAAACCGTTCGTGCTGTCCGGCGACGAGGTTCATACGTACGCACAGGTGTGTTTGGCTGTTGTTGTTGTTGGTAGGTGAGTAGGTCTTGATGAGACCTAGAACTAGAAATGATTAGATTTTGGGCCCCCTGGTGGCTTTCGTTGCTAGGGAAGAAGTAACATGAGTTTGGAACATCGGCAGATATTGATATGTTACTATAACTAGAGAAGTGACATTTGCAAAGCAAATGCATAATGTTTACCTTCGGACATGGTCTGCCCTGTTAATTTTTACTCAAACACATTCACATACATGTAACTTATAAGGTGACAGGAGCAGAGCAGACCATGAAATTGCAACATTATGTAACCCAACACGTCAACATATCATGTCATTGGTCAGGTCAGAGGTCACTGTTTGGAGAAGAAGAAGAGGAAGAAACTGAGTTAAAACAATATGTTTTCCTTCGGTAAACATAATAACCTAATCACACGTCAAATCAGTGCATACTAGATCAATGTACTGGGAGAAGGCTTCTAGGTACATGATCCGACTACTTGTCCCTGTTTCAGGTGGACTCCATGGCGAACCGTGTAGCGAACTTGTTCCACGGGCGGGGGTTCCACAAGGGGGACACCGTGGCCCTGCTGATGTACAACGGGCCTGCCTTCGTCTGGACTTTCCTGGGCCTGGCCAGACTCGGGGTGAAGATGGCTCTTCTCAACACCAACCTCAGGGGACAGGGGCTCATGCACTGCTTCAGGGTGGCGGGGGCCAGGGGCATCATCGTGGGACAAGGTAAACACCTGCATCCTTCCTTCCTTAGTTCCTTCATTCCTCGCTCCCTCCCTCCCTCTTTTCTTTCTTTCTTTCTTTCTTTCTTTCTTTCTTTCTTTCTTTCTTTCTTTCTTTCTTTCTTTCTTTCTTTCTTTCTTGTTCTCTCTCTCTCTCTTTCTTTCTTTCTTTCTTTCTTTCTTCCTTCTTTTCTTTCTTTCTTTCTTTCTTTCTTTCTTTCTTTCTTTCTTTCTTTCTTTCTTTCTTTCTTTCTTTCTTTCTTTCTGTCTCTCTCTCTCTCTCTTTTCTTCTTTCTTTCTTCTTCTTCTTTCTTTCTTTCTTTCTTTCTTCTTTCTTTCTTTCTTTCTTTCTTC